GAGTCGATGTGGTCAGTCCATCAGTCTAATTTATCAACATGTCGGTTTTCTGAACCATTCATCTACAAACCTGTCAGACACTGCAACTTCTTGGGATCTTAATACTTGGGAATTCTTCGCTTGCCTAATTCTTGGGCACGACCTACTTCCACATTGAACAAATGTGACACTACCTATGACTGCTGCACCTCTCCTGCCTACGGTTTATAAGCTGCTTCTCCGCTCATATGCCGTATTCTATTCAAGATTGATGGACTGAACACATCGACTCAAGGTTGAGGGACTGATTACCTCATTCTCCTCCTGTTCTTCAAGTTTCTCCTACGTATGTACTGATGAAGCCACTGTGTGGCGAAACGTTACCTCAATAAAGATACCCAAGAGTTGCACATGTGTCTAATTTATCAACATGTCGGTTCTCTGAACCATTCATCTACAAACTTTTTCCAGAGCATTTATATCCATTCTGTAATACGGTGACCAGAACTGTGCAGCATAATCTAAATGAGGCCTAACCAAGGATTTAAGAACAACCTGAGGACTTCTATTATTTATACTTCTAGATATGAAGCCAAGAATTCTGTTAGCTTTATTGCGAACACTAATGCACTGTTGTCTTGGTTTTAGATTACTGCTAACCAGAACTCCTAAATCCTTCTCGCAATCAGTAGTATTAAGATCTACATTTAGTTTATATGTGGCATGGTTATTTACCTGTCCAACATTTAGAACTTTGCATTTGTCTATATTAAACTGCATCTGCCACTTCTCCGACCATTACATGAGTCTATTCAAATCATCCTGGAATGCTCTATTGACCTCATTAGAATGAATTGGATGGCCTATTTTGGTGTCATCAGCAAATTTGCTTGTGTCGCTATTTATTCCCTCATCTATGTCGTTAATGTGAATTGTGAACAACAACAACAGGCCCAACACTGACCCCTGAGGAACACCGCTTGTGACTTGCTCCCATTCTGATTTCTCCCCATTTATGCTAACTCTCTGCTGCCTATTTGTCAGCCATGCCTCTACCCAGGAAAAAAACTCTCCTCCTGTTCCGTGTGCCTTAAGTTTCCTCAATAGCCTCTGATGTGGAACTCTATCGAAAGTCTTACTGAATTCCATATTAACAATATCATATTCATTACCACGATCTACCTCCTCAAACACCTTAGTGAAAAAAGCTAGCAAATTCATAAGACAGGAACGCCCCTTTGTAAAACCGTGTTGAGATTCACTAATCAATTTATGCCTATCAAGATGGCTACGAATTACCTCGGCAATTACTGATTCCATAAATTTTCCCACTTTGAAGGTAAGGCTCATTAGTCTATAGTTTGAAGCTAAGGACCTCTCACCTGCCTTGTAAATAGGTATTACATATGCCATTTTCCACTTATCAGGCACTATACCAGATTATTTTTAAAGTATATTGCCCTGAGATGAATCAACACTCAAACCAACTTATACACTATACTGTACCCCAGTGGAACTATGGTGGCCATGGAAACAAACATCTGCAACTTTTGTTGTAGAGAGTGCTAAGTTCAGTAACTGTAGATGAATGGTTCAGAGAACTGACACGTTGATAAATTAGACACATGTGCAACTCTTGGGTATCTTTATTGAGGAAACTTTTCGCCACACAGTGGCTTCATCAGTCCATACTAAGGAGAATCTTCAAGAACAGGAGGTGAATGAGGTAATCCGTCCCTCAACCTTGAGTCGATGTGGTCAGTCCATCAATCTTGAATAGAAGATGGACTGACTACATCGACTCAAGGTTGAGGGACTGATTACCTCATTCACCTCCTGTTCTTGAAGATTCTCCTTAGTATGGACTGATGAAGCCACTGTGTGGCGAAACGTTTCCTCAATAAAGATACCCAAAAGTTGCACATGTGTCTAATTTATCAAGTTCAGTAATAAATACTTTGTGATGAATGGTTTTGAAAACCGACAAGTTGAAGATTGAGACTCTTATGCAACATGTGGGAATCTTGTTGCATAAGTGTCTCAATCTTCAATAAATACTTTGATTTTTTTTATCAGTTTATTGCCCTGACTGAGGCATTTGATGATTAGCTTAACTTATATTTTAAAGAAAACTGATAACAGTAAATTTCAATGCCCATTATCATTATCAGTTGAGGAAAGATAATATAGAAAAGCATTACTGAAATACATCAGTTTAAAATTCAATCTTCACTCTATTAAATGACAGAAGTAGAACTTGTGCAGATGATCAGAATAGGAATATTTCAGCTACAGATTTATCTCAATCTTCTCCGGATATAGCACTACTATTACATCTTCTGTTGTAGTGATCATTTTCCCACCTGCATTTGTTATGACTGTGATGCTACTGTTTCTCCTCCACTACACACTTTTACTACATAAAAGCAGGAATAAAGTTATTCTCACTGGTCATCTAACTTGATATATTCGGAAATGATATTGTTTTAATAAACAAAATGTCCTATCTTAAATTTTTGTGGCTGCCTAGTTAACTATTCCTAAGACCCTGATATTTCCAAGAAAGCACGAGGCTCCCTGGTGAATATTAAAATGTCCTAAGACATTAATTTTTGGAACAGACTGTACAAGATTTTCAACAAGGAACCCACTGCACCTCACCAGTCAGAATATACAAATGCTTGTGCTAAGGCAAGTCGTACAATAAGACAGATCAAACGTGACTAAAGGCGAGGTTCTGTTACCACTCTTACGAAGAACCCAGCAATCAGCCATGTCTTGTCCACTGTAATCCATCTCCTCCCTCTTAGTCAACAATACGATAGTAAACATCCCGGTGGATATAGTGAACACTATCGTCAGGAGGCTGGTATTTGACAGCAGCTAGGCCAACTACCATCCAATTTTCCTACAGCATAAAGCTGAGGCCAAAATCATGTCAATAGACTTTGCTACAGAAAGTACCACCATCACATACAGCTCTGCTTTCACTCTGCATAATCCATATCTTGTACCAGTATCCTGAAAAGATATGTTCTTTTCATTCCTGGGCGACTTCAACAAATTTCTATACACATTTTGTGGACAGAAATATACCCAGTTAGATGAATCTTATTAGAGCCAGCTGCGGGTCCGAGCCTTATCCGTTCCGTGATTTGATATGCTACATCAAGAGTCTGATTAAGTTGATTGCAAACTACAACGTTTTCAAACTTGTTGAGCTATGAGCCGCAAGTTGTGTCAGAAAGATATAACGAATCACAGATTCTCTCTCTTTTCCGTCCTATTGCCTTGACTGAATGCCTTTACAGTCATGGAAATAATGATAAATGTTACTCAATTTGCTTCGATGAGGTCATTATTAGCGACGTTGAATACTGGACTATATGCTATCAGTTTAAGAAGTTATCGACCCTATTTTTTATGAAGAAAAGAATAGAACCTTCTATATTCTTGTGAACAAGCTTCATATCAAGACAACCGAGTGCCGCAGATTTGTGCTAAATCCACCATGGCTTCCTGTCTTGATCAATGGCATACTGTCTCCATCTTCCGCCTGGAGAGCTACTAAACACTGTGTATATCGATAATTGGAGGTTGTGAAGGCTTACTCAGCCCTGTAACAACTTCAGACAGTATTACCAAGGCTGGCTCCTCCTCAGGAAAATTAATGAATAGAAAAAGAAATAATAATTCACAAAGATAAACACTTTATTATTTATTAATGCAAAGATAAAACATTGAAACATGAAAGTGTATCCTACTTGAAAGAAAAATGAAATGAAAAAATGACATTTGAATTCAACGCTAATATGTACAGTTATACTGGGGTGTCTGGTTGAGGTTGACACCGTCTTGTAGAAATTGTAGCCGTTGATGATGTAGGGAGGGGGTCACAGGTGTTGGTGACAACCAACGAT